ATTTTACGATAAAGTTGAAGCTTTGGAAACAGAAAACTTTGAATCTCATCACCTTTCCACACAAAAGTCGTCAGTATTAAGCATTTCTTTGACTAACTGCAGTATGTCGATTATCGAATATCTATTTTGTCCCTTGAATATGATCAAATAAATCGAATATTGTGGCATATTCCCTGAAAATTTGCTTTAATTTAAGTAGTTACACTCGTGCCTAGAATTTGGAGTAAATGTTCTGAGAACCTTGGCTTGATTCGATGCCTCTTTCTTTGCTTCGTGCTAATCTTACAAGCATTGATTTCGTCATAAATGTGGCCACTAACTCGTGTTTACAGTCTCAGCCAAGTAGCCTGACCGATCTAAAATTGATATCTCCGTTACGATGGTAAAATGAGGCAAGACACAAATCGACGGAGTACGTTATTATTTAATTTCCGTAAATTTCTACATGCTCTCTATGGCCAATATTAGTTTACTCTGAACTGGCTGAAAAAACAGGTAACAAGCGTACTTCGTCAGTGCCCTACTAGTGCCCGAACGAAATAAGTGCAGTTTTACAGAAAAAAAGACCAATTACGTCATATACATTAAGTATGTTTCGTCACTTTGATCTTAAGATTGGATAGACGTCTTAAGACGGTTGTCAAATCATCAGATATACCTCCAAGTTAACCTCTCTACGCGAGTAACATTCCGGTTACAAGAAAACACAAAAGGATTTAGTGGTATTTACTTACTTTGCGCATTTATCCATACCGAGGGCTAGGTAAAATTTTTCATTTGCTATTTATGTCTAAATCCGGCCCTGTAACTTATTTCCTCGTCAGAATAATGAGTCATTTAACGTTTTATTGAGCCTCATGAACCAAGCTCCTTAGTCGTCCATATATCCGCATGTTTCATAAGACAGGGCCTTTAATAGCTATAAGTACTGCCAGAATAAAAACCCCTTGCAAATCAGGTGCCTTGCAGAGGGAACCTTTCGTCTATGACCGTTGTCACTAGCAGGTCATAAATGTCACCTTCAGTGCGTAATTTGGCGCAAAGTCAGGTTAGGCGCAACGAGTGCTCATTCGTGCAGAGGCAAATAATTCTTCACCGCCGTCGACGTCAACTGGCCCATGGTCTGACAGTCCTACTGAGGTTCAGCAGTGCCGAATAAATGGCTCTTAGAGGCGAACGATGTCACTTTCGTCGTTAGCACGTTCATCGATCAACAAGTGTGAATGACAGCCGACGTTGTCGAAATTCAATGAGTTAAACTGAGCGATTTCGACCGCCATATCGTTCCATTTTTCATACCACTCAAAGCGCCACAACGCCAAAGGTCGAAAGATTGTTTCGACGCAGAAATTATGAATACTACTCTTTCTATATCTCGCCTGTGAGGTTAATGGGGAAGAGGACAAAGAGTGACGTTCGGATGCATAAGCTCAAGGCGTTTCTGCTATCGCCGCTGTGCCCTCGACTCAGAATCGAATGAGGCAACTGGAATTCGTTTGTTCCACAAATGACGGTAATGGAAACGGACGTTGATGACAAAAAGCAGCGGTCGATCAGTCGATCATCCGTTTTCTCAGCACCTACCGCTGGAGGTCATTTCTGAATGAACGGCGACAATCAGATCAGAAGTTCCGCGTGGATGAAGGAGAGCGCAAAAACCAGGTCGTAACTTGGATACTTTTTGTACGACCCAAAAATACTCGACGATTTACTCCCCGGTTCTGGTTAAGGCGCGGCTTCAGGCTGCGGCTGCTGCTCATCAGATCGAGCCGTCGTTCAAATTCAAGTCTATTCATGAAAGAAACGGTCGAAGCTTGAAAAACGCCGCACTGCCACCCGTTACGCTCGGACGATTCTCTCAACGACCCAAAAGATTCAAGAACATTCATTCGACTAGACGACCTGTCATCAATGAACCGCCCCGAAACGTAACAAGGCAATGATTGATGTTTACCATTTCGCTCGAAGATCAACGAATTTTCTGAATCTGAATGACCTCTAATTTTCAACATGATAAAACCTCCCTTACCAGGGACGTTTGGACGACAGCTTTCACGTATGGCTGCACATGGTAATGAAAACGTTCGTTAATCAATCATACAAACCAGTTTCGTGTGCACTATCTGTGGATTTCGTCGTACTGTTCAGCACTGTAAATTATGAATATTATATAACAATAACACATGGCCGGCTGTTGTCACACTCATAGTCTAGAATAATAAAAATTTTTTACATTAAACATAATGATACCGGATTGAAAGTATTCGAAGTATCGTAGTACCGGTGGTGTTGAAAGTTCCCCCATAACATCAGGGTTCCATTTTGCCCACTAGGAGTCAAGAAGCAAAAGGGCGGCGCAGCAAAGCTTCGGTTGTAAAGTGAGTTGATTTTTTCTGTACTGTGCCCTCGCCGTTTCAATTCCGTATCATCGTGTTTAATGTGATATATTCAGCGGCGGTATCAAAGGCATCCTCATAACATTGGGGCTCTATTTTGTCAATAATGATCTTCATTGATATGACATATTTGTGTGAATTTACGCCAGGTTCTGCGAATTCTTTCGTTGAAAATTCAAAATAATGCAGGTGGAGTTTCTTGACTAGGGACTCTTGATAATGCAATGGGGTGAAGCTAAGACCGATAACCGATACTGGAACGAACCAGTGAGGCTATTGGTGAAGCTTAACTTTAATTACCTACACGGATAATGTGCAGCGGTGAATCGCTTCATTACCTGTACACCATTTTGCCTTACCGAAACATGTATCCAGACCTTCACGGTTCGGGTTAGTCGCCCATCTCACAATCGCATGTGTCAGGGCGAAGAAAGTAATAAATACTAGTAATAAAGAGAATAATAAATACTAGTAAAGAGAGCAATGAATCATAAGAGTAATGAATTAATATTAATACTCATTTGTAATGGGTTATCTTGCATTCTGTCAGTCAAGCGCGTTCGTCAACCATGCTCTAATTCACTCATTT